CCCGAACCTCCTGGACTAGAGGAGCGGTCCTGAAATTGCCAGAACACCCTGTGCTTTCCCATCATCATACTCAATGAATTTTATTGCAGTTACTTTTGTATTATTGTCTTCCCCACTGGATGGCAAGTTCCAGAGGAGACAGACTCTTTACCTGTTGCACCTGCAGACCTGCTCGCCGCCCTTCTCCTGCTGTCTGTCTCAGGGTGTCGGCCTGTCCGGCTCCAACAGTGGGCTCCCGTGCCCTCTCACTTCCAGCTGGGTTCAGCCAGTGGTGCATCGCCATGGCTCCCATGTCCCTGTGCCTGCACCCAGAGTTGCTGCCAGAAGTACAGCGTGAGACAAGAATTCAAAGGCCAGTCTTTTGTTTAGGAGGCACCTTACGAAATGCCAGGAGGCGAGCCGGGAACTGCGAAAGAGAAGGGAAGGAGCCAATAACGGGTGCTTGTCGTGCCAATCACCACCCGGGCGACCAGAACTTCACCCAGAACTCCACCCTCGGGGGAACTTCAGGACAGTCTAGAACAGGCACCCCAAAGTTAGCTCACCCAAAGGGCAGGGAGTGGGTATTTATACACACCTCCCACCTGGCCTTGGCTGAGTGCTGTGCCTCTGGGGCGACAAATTCCCAGGCACTTTTGGCCTGTTCTGTGGGTGAGCAAAGTCGGCTTTGCCACTAGAGAAAGCCCTCAGGCGAAGAAATGCAGGTTTTGGCAATTGGAAGTGGGGCTGGTGTTTGCTGAAATGGTAAAAGCAAGGGGTAGGCAGGCCCTCACAGCATCTGCTGTAGGGCTGCTGCCCGCAGATCTCCCAGCTCCTCTCCGGGTTCAGGGGGAGCTCCTTCCCCGGCTCAGCCCCGGCTGCAGGGGAGGGGTTGGGGTGGTAAAAAAAAAGTTCTCTCTTAGGATTTTCACAGCCCTTATTCTTACTTTTCCTGAACAAAATAAAATGTAGTCGTAATGTAGACATCGAGTGGATGGTATTGAGTCAGCCACTAATGTCATATCTTTATGAGTTGAGAAGAAATGTTCATTGAATGTGCGTTTAAGTTGGAACCCAAGAAACTTACTACCAAAACCTAATTTTTAAATTGTTCTATAACAGTAAGAAAAATTAAATCATGATTAGTTAGGGCTTTAAAAAAAAAACTTAGTGCCAGGAACCAGCAGGAAATAGGGTTTTTTTGTTGTTGTTTGTTTCTGACTTTGTTTTTTTAAAGAGGAGGATGCAGAAGGATTCTTAGAGTTTTCCCTGTGCAGTGACTCATTAAAAACAAAAAAGGCCCTGGCTGGTGTGGCTCAGTGGATTGAGTGCTGGCCAAAGAAAGGGTCACAGGTTCAATTCCCAGTCAGGGCACATGCCTGGGTTGCAGGCCAGGTCTCCAGTAGGGGGCGTGTGGGAGGCAACCACACATTGATGTTTCTCTCCCTCTCTTTCTCCCTCCCTTCCCTCTCTCTGAAGATGGATAGATAAAATCTTTTTTTTAAAGCAGTTCTTTTTAGCCCCAAGTTACAGATGAGGACACTGAGGCTCAGAGGGCCACAGAGCTCAGCCAGGGCCCAGCACTGCTGCCTCCCAGGAAGCGAGGAGCCACAAAAAGACTGGCTGGCTGAGCAGACTACAGTGGAGCGGGAGCTGTGTTGGGAAAAGAAACAGGACTCTCACTCAGAAAAGTTTAGGGTTGTACTTGGCAGATTTTTGTGGAACAAAATCACACTATTGATTCTGTGGCAAATGAAAAACCTCTGGTGGACACCCTGGGCTTCAGAGATCTGAAATGTCAAAAAGAGGCTGGACCAAGCACAAAGAGTTAAAGTTGCCAGGTGAAGCCGAGCTCACTCACAAGCTCACGTGGTGCCTGGGCTGGGAAGACCCTGCCTCTTTTGTCTTCTCTGCCGTAGGTGAAAATGACTTGTTATTCCGAACTGCTCTCTCCCTGGTTGTGGCCCAGGCCTGCGGTTGAAATAGGATCTCTGAGCAGAGCAAGAGAGGCCTGCGCAGTTCACAGGGCCATGTTCAGGAGCAAGTGGCAGCCAAGGGGGAAATGTTGCCACCTGACCTGGGGTGGTGATTGGCCCTGGGGCAGCCTTGAAGGAGCAGAGGATATTATCTTCCCGTAATTCACCCACTGCCCCCCCACCCCGTGGGTTCGTAGTTCTGCCTTAATGAACCAATTGGATTGCAGAGATGGGATAGACGTTTGTTCGAGAATGGAGGATTATTGCAAAGACACGTGTGAACTGGACTCCAGAGGCCTCCAGAGCAGGAAATGGCAGCCTGCCTGTGGCCCCTCGCTCCTCCACCCAGTCCAGCTACGTCTGCTTCTGCCCCAAGGTCTGCACCCGAGACTTCGTCTTGTTCACGGCCCAGTGTGGTTGCTCGCTCTGTCTTCAGGGTGGCTTTTCACCTCCTCCTCCTCCTGCTAATTGCCTCCCATTCTTGGTATTCCCAGCTTTATTTCCCAAAGGAAGACCCCCAGCCTAGCCAGCTGTGTCTTTCCGCATCACACCTGTTATAGATCATGGTCACCAATGGATTATCTATCCTCGGATGGGCTGGCCGCCTTTCATCCTGTCAGCCAAAGGGGTGTGGGGAGGCACCCTTCATCTGACAGACATTGAACCACTATTGAGTCCCTGCCTACTGCTAGCTTGGCACTGAGGGTGAAGCAATGAATGAAAACCAAGTGTCCTGTTCTTGTGGAGCTTACATTCTAGCGGGGAGAATACACGATAAATGACCAACTATATATTCTGTCAGGTGCGGGGAGGTGCTTCGGTCAAAACGAACAGGAGTGAATTAAGGAACAGAGAGAGACCAGAGAGCTGTTATTTTAGGGACTGGCTGGGGAATCTTTCTGATAAGGTGATGTGTGAACAGAGGCCTAAGTGAAGTGAGGGCAGGCTCTCTGCAGCCATCAGAAGCTCCCGCTTCTGCTTGGGAAGAGTCCCCCAGACAGAGGGAATGAGTGCAAGGGCACTGAGACAGATGTGTGCTCGATACAATCCCAGCAGCCTCTGGGACCTTGACTGTGAGCAGGCAGGTGTTCTGAGGTGCAGCCCATGCTCAGGTTCCTTTGGAGAGGACCAGAGTTTGGCATCAGCCCCAAATCCACCAGCCACTTGGCTGGAGGGAGGAGTCAAAGCACAGACCAGACAACAGCCATGGTGCCCTCCCCCCCAAAGAGTGGTAGGTCTGGGGATTCCCCTTCCCATTGAGTCAGACACCTGTGGCGGCTGTCGCTGTGGCCCAGGCCGCAGCAGAGTACAAGGACAGAGATCAGTTCCCTTTTACCCCAAAGTGTGAGACAGAGAACTTAGTTCTGCACGCGGCCTTGTCTTTCTCACCCCTGCCTTGTGTATATGCCAGCCTTTCCTCCCGGAGGACATTTTTTGAACTTTTCAAATAATGCACATACGTGGCAGAAAACATCGGAAAACCACAGATTGGCAAAAAGAAGGAAATTGCTATAAATCCCACCACCCAGAGAGCGGAAAGCGCATCCCTCCCAGGACAGTCGTGCCTCCTCTCTTTTATGCTTCTCACTTGCATTCATGCAAATGCTTCCTGTCTCGTTGAATTCACAGTATACCTCAAATGCCTCTCGAGGTAGGTTCGTAATTCTAAACCTGTTTTAATGGCTACAAAATGTCCATCATGTAACTGCCAATCTCCTTGGGTTGTGCATGGAGGCTGTTTCCAAGCTTTTGTTGTTAGGAACCATGCCACAGCCAATACCTGTGTACACGCCTTGGCCCACGTGCTGTGTGGGCTTCTGGGCAGGGGAAGGACAGGAGGGTGAGAGGTCAAGGCCTCCACAGGAGCCCGGTGGGTGGAAACCATTGTAGGAGGTCAGCAATGCCCCCTAGATATGCGGGCTTCACACTCCCCCAGCCAGCAGCCAGACAGCTCTGAAGCTTTCGGAGGGTCCTGCACGTGTGTGTTTTGAGGCCGTGAACATGGCCTAGGTCTCTAGTGAGGCAGGTGTGGGTGCACCAGACAGGGGAAGATGGACAGAGGCATTAGTCTTCCTTGAGGTGGGAGTGGCTTGTGGCACCTGAAACTCTTGAGGATGGAGTATGAGAAAGACCATGCTCCTTGCTTCCGATCTGGACCAGGGGATTTGTGTAATTTTTGACAGGTTTGGGGACTCTGGTGCTAGAAGGGACCTTATAGCTCATTAGAGAAGACCGAGGCGTGGAGAGCTGCAGTCGCTTGCCTGACATCACACAGCATTAGGAGCCATTGGCTGCTGTGTCCCATAGAATGTCCAAGATGCACTGGCCGATAACACTGCTAACGTGCCTCTTCTCTCCAGAACTCCCCTGCCAGCCTCTCCCCGTACCTCCGCCCCAGGCAGGACAGCCCGCATTGGTGGCCTCTCCGGCCGTGCCAGTGGTTGTCCTTGCTCAGTGAGGGCTTTCTCTCACAAGAGGAGAGGGTCTGGTAGGGACATCTCGTTCCAGGGGTCAGTGGCCAAACCCTTTATCTCCAGGTGGGGTGGTTTAGCATACAGGAACTGGCTAGATCCAGGTTCAAGTCCTGGGAATGACCTTACTTCTCTGAACTTGAGTTATTACATCTGTAAAATGGGGCTAATAAGAGTACCTGTCTTATGAAGGCTAAATGGGATGATGCTGATAAAGTTCTTTTTAAAAATTTTTTTAAAGATTTAATTTATTTATTTATTTAGAGAGGGAAGGGAGGGAGAAAGAGAGAGAGAAACATCAATGTGCGGTTGCTGGGGGCTGTGGCCTGCAACCCAGGCATGTGCCCTGACTGGGAATTGAACCTGCGATGCTTTGGTTCCCAGCCCGAGCTCAATCCACTAAGCTACGCCAGCCAGGGCTTTGATAAAGTTTTTTTTTTTTAATTAATTTATTTTTAGACAGAGGGGAAGGGAGGGAGAAAGAGAGAGAGAGAAACATCAATGTGTAGTTGCCTCTTACATGGCCCTCCACTGGGGACCTGGCCCACAACCCAGGCATGTGCCCTGACTGGGAATCAAACTGGTGACCCTTTGGTTCACAGGCCGGCACTCAATCCACTGAGCCACACCAGCCAGGGCTGATAAAGTTCTTTTGACCCTGAATAGGAGCTCAACACATACCACCCTCAGTGGTGGTAGTAGCTGTCACTTCTGGTGCCATCCTTCCTGCAGGCCAGCCTGACCACCCTTTGAAGGTTTGCCTCCCCATGTCCAGGATTGAGTCTATGGAAGTGGTCAGACTGACACAGGACAACCCTGGCTGGGGGCAGGAGTCTCAGGGCCAGCAGGGACAGGTCACCTTGGGGGGGCTCTCTTTGGAGAGGACTGGCTCTGTCCTGAGCTCTGCCTCCTCCACCGAGGGCCAGGGAGAAGTCTCCCAAGGCAGCACAGGGGGAGCTGTGGAAAGCATTCCCACGGGGTTTCCATGGGCTTAGAAGAGTGAGAAGAGGCTGAAGGCCTCCACAGAAAACGGCAGCACCTCCCCTAACTGCCAGCCCACAACCCAGGCCTCTATGCAGCTGGCTCTTCCTTCTCAACAGGGTCTCCTTGGGCTCTTGGCCTGGCCAACAGGCACTGCTTCTGGCTCCTTCCTCTCGCACTTGTTTTGGGTCTGCTTGGGCTCTTCTGCCGCCTCCACACATGGAGCCAGCCAGCTGAAAGCAGGGGCTGTGAAGCCAGACAGGCGGGACTCAGGGCCTTGCTCTGCCGCTTACCAGCTGCCTGATCCTGGGCAAATGCTTTCAATTCTTTGGGCCTCAGTTTGGTCATCTGAAAAGTGGGCTAATGCCATTAGCTCTTGGGGCCCTGACATTTGCAACAGAAGAGATACAAAGTGCTTCCCTGACACAGAGCAAGGCTTCAGAGAGATGTTGCTGTTGTTCTGTCTTCATCATCCTTATCTGTTCTTTGACAGCCATGTGGAGAGGCCTACTGTGTGCCAGGCTCTGTGGGGACCCCACGTACCAAAATGAATGCCACTGTGCTCTTCCTGGTGGCCTTGCCTCCCCGGTCTTTTTCCTCATTGTGGATCCCTCTATTTTTTGTTCTAGGATCCATACAAAAGGTGTCACCTGCCTGCCTGCCAGATCCCGGCCTCCGTGGGCCTCAGGGCCTCAGGGCCTTTGCCGGATGCCTCCCCGCATTTCACAAGTGGACGGCCTGCCCCTTTTCGGCAGGCTGACATAATCCTGGGAGGGGCAGGGTGTGTCAGAGGAGCTGGCAGTGGCCCTGGATGAAGCCCTGAGAAGTCTGGGGTGAGAGCTGTCACCTCCCCTACGGGGGTGGGGGGGTGGGGGGGGTGGAGCTGGAGCAGCCTCATTCTCACCGCTGTCCTGGAGAGAGCAGCGACCCGGAGAGGCCTGTTACTGGTGGAGGGTTCGTCCTCAGAAAGCAGGTCGTCCTCAGAGAGCGGAGGGGTAGAGAGAGAAGCAGCTGGTAAACATGTCTGCCACGGTCTTCGACTGTGCGGCCTAAAACGGGGCACAGACCCTTCGCGGCGCCCCACACCCTCTCCTCGGCTGAGATGGGGTCCAGGCTCCCCAGTGCCTGGGGCTCGGCGCTCCCTAGGGGTGGGCTCCCCTCTCCAGTGCCCAGCCCTTCCACCCCACTAGGAATGACCAGGGCGTTGTTACTAACAAGCTAGCCACATTACAATCTCAACAGAATTAGTAAAAAAAACAATAATAATGAAATTTTTTAAAAAGAGGAAAGGGAAAGGAAAGAAAATAGCCCCTGTGCACTTGCCATCGCTGCGGTGTCTGCCAGCACCTAAGATCTGGTACTATTTTTTAATAATTGAGGCTAATAAATATGTATTTCTTTCTCCTTAACCCCCCATCCTCCGCGCAGCTTGTCAGCTCTCTGCGTCTCTCCTCTGATCAGACCAAGTCTTTCCCAAGCCAAAAAAAAAAAAATCCTTTAAGCAAAAAGGATTAAAGCCTTGAAAGTAGGTCTGCTTAAGCTCTCCCCCACCCCCTCCCTTCCCCTTCCCTTCCCCAGTGTTGGTGAAGAGAAGCCCCCGCAGGGAGCGAGGGACAGGGGTGGGCGGGGTGGGCTGATGAAGCAAGCCCCTGGTGGGGGTCTTGGGCTGGAAGACCAGCTGGTGGGTGCCTCCCCGCATCCCATCCAGGCCCAGCCCTGGCCTGGCCTGGGGCGGCAGCTGAGCCCGCCCTCCACTGGCCCCTGAGGAGGGGCCGACCTGAGAACCAGGTTGGCTTTGGTCTCGTCTCTGCTGGGCTTTGCAACCTGGCTCTTTGCTTTAGGGGCTTGTGTGACCTTGGGGGTAAGCACTTGAACTTAAGTTTCTCCATTTGTAAAATGGGAATATAAACAGTATCTACCTCACAGAGGACCAAATAAGCTAAAGATAGTCTGGTGTCCCACACATGGTAAAGACAAAGTACAAGGAATAGTTATTTTTACCCAATTCTCAGACACACAGGACAATCTGTAACCTCCCCATCCCATGGCCCTCCCCAGTCCCCAAGGGGCCTCCGAGCACACCTGGTTTCGGTGCAGCACCCCCAACACCCTGTAAAGAGGGGGCTGAAGCCAGGGCTGAATGATGTGGTTAGGAGCCTCGGCCAAGGCTGGTGGACCAATAGGTGATAGAACTAGAACTCAGAGTAGAACTTGCATCTTCTCGCTCACTTCCTGACCTCCGTCCCATGCAGCTTCCTGACAGGGCACCCAATATCCTCGACTCTGGGCCCAGGAACCAAACCAGCAGCCAACCTAGGGAAGGGCTGGCCTGGCTGGGAAGGGAGCATCCGAGCAGTCGTGGCTGCTGCTTGGCAAACCCACCTTCCCCCCCTCCCCCTGCAGCTACCAGCCTTCGCAGTTCTGCTGAAGCAGCAGCCCCGGCCTAAGTGGGCCTCCCTCCCTCTGCGCTGGGCACATCCATATGGAGCTGGCTGCAGGTGGCTGGCCTTCGGCCCCTGCACCCACCCAGGCCCAGAATTCCTGGCCTGTCCCAGTGGTCAGTGCTTAGCCACATGGCTTTCAGGGCCTTGCTGCTTGTGCCTGGTGACAGGCCTGCCCTCGCTGCTCTGGTCCCACAAGGCAGGAGAGGAGAGGCGAGGCCAGGAAGGCCGGAGGGCAGGAAAAGCAGGGAGGGAGGTGGCTATTTATAGCTGGCTTTGCTTTTGTTCTTTTTCCAGCAATGCTCCTCTTTAAATAGGAGCAGGGCTGGAGGCTGCAGCTCTTCCCCAGCCGCCTGTAGTCAGTGCACAAGCGTGTCTGCTTGTGTGTCTGTGTGTGTGTGGGGGGGTGTATAGGGTGGGGGGTGGGCACTGTGTGTGTGTGCATGTGTGCAGGGATGGGATGGGGGATTGCCAGCTGTGAGTATGTGTACACCAGCAGGTACAGAGGTGGAGATGGGTGTTCTTTGTGTGAATGTGTGTGCACCAGCATATACATTCTTGTGTAGGGATGGGGCTGTTTTTAGTATGCATGTGTGTGTGCATGTTTGTTAGTGGGCACACACAACAGTGGGTGGGGTGGCCACTGCTCAGTGTGTGTGTATGTGTGTGGGCACATGTACACATAGAAATGGGGTCAGGTGGCCAAGTGTGTGTGTATCTCCATGTGCAGAAATGTGATGTGAGCAGCCCTTTTAGGGTGAGTAGTCACCCCCGTGTGAGCGTGTGTCATAGTGTGCATCTGAGTAGGGACTGGGGAGAGCCACAGATCTTAACCGTGTGTATACCTGTGAGGACGGCCTTGTCTCTCCAGTCCTCTGCCCCGTGCTGCGCTTGTGCCGCGTGAGTATGGATGGCTAGGAGTTGTGTGTATTGTGTGTACGCCTCATAGAAGGGACTCCGGGTCCCCTCTGGCTGCAGGAAGAGTGGGTCAAACCGGTCAACCCAGTAGGCGTTTTTTAGAGCACTCCCAGACTCGGCCCCTGCAAGGCTGAGACCACTCCACTTGCCTTTCTTTCCCAAGCTCACAACCCGGTGGGCAGAGCGGGCCTGGAACCACGCCACCTCGGGTAGAAAAGTATGAGCAGATGCGGGGCGAGCATCGTGAGGAAGCCCTGGGGGTAGGGGGCGTACCTGTGCCCGCTCTGGCCCGGCATCTATCCTCTGTCTCTGGTTGATTTCGCGTCTGTAAATGGGAGCTTGAAGCTACCCCGGGGCTGCCGCGGAGTCAGATGCCAAGGCGCTACTAAGGCGGCCTAGCGCAGCCTGGGCGCCCGGGCCCGCCGCGGGTCGGCGCTGGGGTCGCGCGGGGCGGGGCTCGGGCTCGGGGCTGCGCGCTGGACGGACGGCCGGAGCGAGCGGGGTAGCAAAGAGCGGGGCGCCGGGCGAGGGGGAGGCGTTTCCGGGCCCGCAGCGGCGCCCCGCGGCCCAGTGCGGTAACCCAGATCTGTCAGCGGGGCTCCGCGCGGAGCAACCCCCGCCCCGGGGGTGCGAGGCACCGCCCGCCCCAGGAGGATGGGGGCACGGCTTTGGGCACCGCCCTCGCCCTTGGGCCCGGCCCGGCCTCGGCGGCAGCTCTGGATCAATGCGACAGTCCTCCCCGCCCCTCCCCCAAAGGCCAAACAAAACGTAGTAAATATTTAATCCGGGCCAAGGAGCCAAAGAGGCCTCCCCGCCCCCTCCGCAGCCGTCTGGCTCCTCTGCCAGCCCCAGCAGCTCTTCTCCGTAGTGAGGCCAGAGGGGCACGGATCGATCGGGGCCCCGGGCGGGGTGGGGGTGGGGGCCTGCGCCCTCGGGTGGCATCGTGGTCCACCCCTGGCCCGGGACCCCCGGAGGCCCCAGCAGACCAGGGCCTGCGCTTTTCCAAGGAGGCCTGGGAGGAGAGTGAGGACCCAGCTCCCTGCCCACTCCTTGCCCACCCACATCTTAGAGGCTTCCTGTGAGTTTGGGTTGGGTGAGGGGGGAGAGGAGGAGGCAGCCCAGGCGGGGAGGAGGAGCAGCAGAACGGAGGACATCTGAGTCCCCCTTGGTTCCTGAACTCCTGACCCCAGCCTAGACTCAACATCCAAGGCTTGGTGGGCCACATTCTGCCAGGGCCTTTGGCGAGGGGCAGGCGGGGGTGAGGGTGCTGAGTGGAACAGGCACAACCTGGAAGGCCACAGAGAGAGGCTGGAAAGGTATTTCTTTTGTGCTGCACTCCAGGCCTCCTGGGTATTGCCCTGTAGGATCCCTAGACGGGTGGGTGATGACATTCTTGCTGTCCATTCATTCATTCATTCATTCATCCAGGCAGCAGATAATTATTGAGCACCTACAACTGGCCAGTTATATAGGCTGCCAGCAAGGCAACACAACAGTCTGTGCCCTCAGGGAAATTACATTCCAAAGAAGGAAATGGTAAACACCTAAAGTAAGTGATTTCAGATAGTAGGTGAATTTAGTGTAGAGAATAAACAGTAATGTGTTTGGCCAGGAAGAGGAACAACACTTGTAAGGTGGTCAGGGAGATGAACCCTGACAGTGGGTTGTGGCAAAGGCACCCCAGGCAGTTTAAAGCAAGTGCAAAGGCCCAGCGGCAGGAAGGAGACTGGAAGGACTGAAAGCTGGGGCTCAGTGAGCCAGCTTGAAGTAGGCAGTGGCAGACCCTGCAGGGGTTTTGTGGGCCATGGGAGGAGTTTGGATTTTATTCTAAGTGCAGTGCAAAGGTGTTACAGGTTTAAACAAAGGAATGGCATGATCTGATTTACATTTTTAAAAACTTCTGCTGGCTGCAGTCTGGAGAACGGAAGACATGGAGTTAAGGGGGAAGACAGACCCCCACCCCCAGGTTTGGGGGTGGGGGTCTGCAGTGGTGAATGAGAGGGAGGCTGCTGTCCTGTCCAGCTTGGGCAGTGACCATGAAGTGGCCCTGTAGGCTTCTCCAGCTGGCAGCCCCGTCCCTGCAGCCAGAACAGCCTGTGCCTGGGCTCCCGGGCTCCTGGCTCGCCAAGTGCCATGGCGCTGGGAGGCCTGGGGTTGCCCCTGTCCTGTCTCCACAGTGGGCAGCCCAGGAAGTTTTTAAAGGAGCGTTAGAAAATGTTGACATGTTTTTTGAAACAATTTCAAATCTGATATCTCTGCCAGATTGAGTTTGTAACTAGCTTTATTGTTTAAGCCTGCTGGGATTTCATCAAAGGCGTCTGCTGTTTACCCAGAACATTTCATTGGAGAAAATAGCAAACAGACCTGCATTTCTATCTGATTTCACTTTTTCCCTTTTCTCATGCATTTAAGTGCTTGTGAAAAGCAAGGCTGATAAGGCAGAGCAGGGAGGATCAAACCCTGAGGAGGGAGCTCAGAAGGATCTCAGCCGAGCTTTATTAACAAAGCAGAGTTAAAGGTGTCTGGCCTTGGCTCTGGCCAGCTGAGAGGCTCCCCAAGCCCCCAGCTAGCCCTCCACAGGGGCACTGAAGAGGTGGGGAGGGCTGCTGTCTACCTCCACCCAGGCCAAGAGCTCTAGGTTATCTGCTGGCGTCTGTTGTCTTTACCGGTCTCCAGACCATTTCAGACACTGAACATCAGACAGTGAAAGACTGAACATCAGCTCCGCTTGGACAGCACTGGTGACCCAACTCGGGTGGGTTCAGTGAGACAGACCCAAGCTTTCCCCGGAGCAGGCCCAGTGAGGAAACAGATCAGAAGGCCAACGGAAGCCAGATCACGAGAGTGTCAGGAGCACTGGCCACCTTCCTGCTCCTCCTCTGCCAACGCCTCAGATACAGCCCCTTCCCCTGCCAGGCAGCCTGAGCCAGGGCAAGGCCCAGGGACTCCTGTCTCAGGTTCAGCACTCCCGCCACCCCCCTGAGGAATCTATACTGGCATTATCGCCACCTGCCCGAGAGGACCCCACGCCTCTAACAGGCCTGTCGCCCCACAGATGTTTTAGCCCAACAGGGGAAACGTGCTCTGCAGCCTCTCCGGAGAAGGTGTTCTGAGAAATTTGGGTTAATGAGCCCTGTTCAGTTGCTTGAGTGACAGCTAGTTAAATGCAAGGGTTGTTTGACATACAGGTCATCCTTTACCAGTTTTACATTAGACCCACTTACAGGGTCAATCGATTTGAACCAATTAGCAAGAGGATAAGGACTCGTGTGTCTTTAACTGACTGTAGACTGTGAGCTGGCCGTCTGAGAGCAACGATGACGATATAGAGGTGTTTCCTCAGTGCTGCGTGCCAGGCATAACCATTGTGCCCCACTGCCTTCTGGCAGATGGCGCTTCCATCCACAGCAGGAGTCAGCCCTCTCTTCCTCAGAATGAGCCCTGGAGGAGAGCAAGGGAAGGTCAAAGGTCTTGTCCTGACTGAGCTGAGCCAATCTAGACCCCTGCTTCAGAGGCTGCCCTTCCCTGCCCCCCTTCCACAGCTACACAGTGGAAGCTCAGGGCTGCTGGGGCCTCCGTGACTCCTTCTGTCCCTCTGGGCGCAGGGCACGGCCCCAGGCTTCGAGTACCAGCTGCAGGCCTGAGCCGGAGGGCCTGCGCGTATTTGCTGCCAGGGGCGGAGGGCCTAGGTCATCTTGATTCATCTTTACAAATCCCCTTCCTGACCCCAGCCCTAACCCCAGCAGGTATTGTCCCCATTTCTAGACGAGGAAACTGGGGCTTGGAGGTGGGAGGCGGCAGGGCCTGCCTGTGCTGTCCAAGCGATCTGAACCTAGGCCTGGCTAGGGTCTGTTTACTTTGCCGCACAGCCTGCAGCCTTCTCAGAGGTTCAGTAGGGGCAGGGGCTGCTTCCAGGTTGTGGGTTTGGGAGGAACAAGCTCCGAGCTGGCAGGGAGTGGATGGAGGGGGCCCTTTGGCGTTTTCTGGCTGGAGAACGTTTGAGGACAAGGCTGAGGGAGTCCAGACTGCGGGCAGCATTTGCCCTGCCAAGTGCCGGTGGGTCCTTTGTAACACAGTGGGTATGGGGTGGGGGGACGTAGCTCTGCGTCCCGAGGCATCCCATCTCCCACCCAGAGTCCCTGCACTCCGTGCTCGGTGTCCCCGTAAAAGACAGAAGGAAGGCCACGCCATCCTCTCAGACCTGCCCACCATTTCAACACCTCACCCTCACACCCAGTGTCTACCAGTTCCACCCCAACACACACTTCTAAGGGGCAGCAAAACTGCCCCCACTGCCCCACCAGAGACTAGGAAATGTGATCCAAAGAGCAGAACCAAGAAGCAGGGAGGTGGGTTTTCCTACAAAGAAGCTTTGAGCATAAGTGTCCTGTGGCAGGGGGTCCCCAACCTCTGGGCCCCACACTGCAGAGGTGAGCTGGAATGTGATGCATTTGCATCATCCTGAAACCATCCTCGCCCCGCTGCCCAGTCCGTGGAAATACCATCTTCCACCAAACCAGTGTCTGGTGCCAAAAAGGTCGGGGACCGCTATCCTAAGGAACGGGCCAGTTCAGAGTGTCCTGGGGTTGAGAGTGCGCGCTGGGGGCTGTGCTCTTGCTCCAGTTCTGCTGTGCTAGCTCAAAACACTTGACGGGTTCCTGGGAAATTGCTTCAGATCTCACAGTGTTTTCTTCTTAATAGCCCCAGCCAGTGGCGAATCCTTGACCTTTGAGGGTGGGTTTGATTTTTTGGAAAAGGCCAAAAGTAATTTGAGGCTGTGTGTTGTGAATAAAGGAAATGAGCAGTTTGTAGAATGTGGTATGTTTTATTGTTTTGTTGTTGGGATTTTTTTAAGGTTAAAAACGAGATGGAATTCAAGAATTGAGCCTGTTTTCTCACAAGTTCCAGAAGAGCTTCAAGGGATGGGGGGCTACTTGAAATGGGGAGGGGGGTTGGGTCCAACAGTGACCACTTTGACAGAAGGGCAGGGGAAGGAATTGGATGCTTTATTCAGCCACTACTATGTGCCAGGAACTTTACATGCATTATCTCAACTGCCTGAAATTGTTTTTGGAATAAGCCCGGTCTATAAAAAGATTCATAAATAATCCATTATCTTGTTTACTCCTTACAGTAATCCTATTAGAACAAATGCTTAGCCCATTTCACTGGTGAGAAAATTAAGGCTTAAGGAAGTTAAATGACTTCCCTGGGCCATCGAGCTTATAAGTGTTGGGGTCAGGATTCGAACCCAGGATTGGCCCCCCAAATCAAGGCCAGTTCTTCTGGGGTTTGTGAATCCTGGTGCACCTACCCCACACTTCCTTGTCCCCAATAACACATGCATCCTGTTCCGTTATGTCACAGTGACATCATTCAGGCTGCATTCGCCACCTAAAAAAGAAAGCAGGTCACGAAGGAGCCGTGTGCCAGGGTGAAATGCTGACTGTGTGCAGTGGCGGACGTCGTCAGCAGGGACCAGGGGATGCGTGGGTGACAATGGCAAAGCATGACGTATGGTGTTTATTAGGTCCTGGCAAGGCCCGGGAGTCCCAGATGCCGAGCGGTGATAAGTGGGAACTGCCCAT